ACTGTATTTTACACTGTATTAACACTAATAACAGTTTATATTATTATTATCACAGAATATTTTAATCTAATTTATTTTAGTTAAAAATTTCTAATTTTATAATATTTTAATCCCTAATTTTAAACATATCGATAACCAATTGAATTATTACTTTTAGAAATTTATAGACCAATAATAATAATAATAATAATAATAAATTGATAGACATATCATAAAATTTTAATACAAAATACCTGTATATAAATAGTTTATATAAATATATTGTTGAAAATTAAACAAAAAAAATAAWTCATAAAATCTAGAAAAACTTATTTAAGAAAAAAAATTGGTTTAAAAAATATAAATTTTCAAATAAATTATTTTATAGTAAAATAATATATATTTTTTAATTATATTGTTTTCGTTGACCACTAAATGTCGGCCGAAAACAACAACAAACTAAAAGGTAAAAGTATTGTACGTTTACCGATATGGTCGCTGTCGTCGTCGTCGTTATCATTGGTCAACAATACTAATACACTACCGATAGCCGACTTGATTAGTGACCTGACATGCGGTATATGTCTGGCAGTGGTCACCGAACCGGTAGTTACTCAGTGCTGTCGCCGACTGTATTGTCGCCGTTGTATTGAACAATGGCTTAACAATACCGGCGCCGGTAGTAGTAGTAGTAGTAGTAGTAGTGTTGGACATATAAGTAGGTGTCCATTGGATAGACGGCCGCTAACTGTCCAACAGTTACGCAAACCATCATTGGCCATAACTAATATGCTAACTGTGCTCAACAAACATCAAATTAAACTACAACTACAAAAAMGACAACAATTTAATGGTATATAAAAATTAAGTTTATATTTTATTTTATATATATTAAAAAAAATTCTAATAATTATTTAATTTTTTCAAAAAAACATCAACTTATACTGTATATACTTATACTATATATATATGTATAATATATATATACTGTATATACCTATACTATATATATATGTATAATATATATATACTGTATATAATAAGTGTACATGTATTAGTATATAAATTATGTGCCTGAATATAATTATTTTATTAATTAAAACTAATTAATTTTTTTTATATACACATAGTTTATAATGTTGAAAAAAATATCTAGAATTTTCTATAAAATTTCTATTAAATTTTTTTTTTAATTAAAACTCATTACTAATACAAAAAAAAATTATTTATTAGTCATAAAAAAAACTAGTCATAAGTTACATACAAGTCATCACAAAATTAGTTTGAATACAAACGTGTGACTTAATATTTAATTAAAAAAAATTTTTTTTATTCAAATTCAATTAATTATTTTGTTTGTTTGTTTGGTGTGATTATATCTAATYAAAAAATTTWTAATTATAATAGACATGTCTTTATCATTATTATCGACAACAACAACAACAATCGGGAATCGCTTAACCAAAGCAAACATAGTTAGCGCCATTGATGTCAATAATTTGTCATTARTYRTATGCAATGTCTACGGTTGYGGTAAWCTGATCCGACCATCAAMTGGTGTTGCAATGGTTAACTGTTGTCTATCTAAGATTTGTTACGAGTGTTGGGCTCCGGTATTGACTGCCATAAACAATGGCAACAAACAATTAAAGTTAGCGAACAAAATCCGMTACCAATTCAAGGGTCGGCGGAAGCGGCGGCGCCGGTATCGCCAACAACAGTGGCAACCATTTCGTGTCCCAAATGYCGACAACAGTTGACTGAACCGTACTTTTCGGTGTTGCCATCGATTATAATGMAATTATTRAATGATTTGTCAGTYAAATGTCTRTATTATGAGAGAGGATGTACTTTTGTCGGTACCATTGAGWTAGTCMTTAGCGATCACKCRTTGRTTTGCGATTACCGGCCMAAACAGCACTGTATGWATTGTGACGCCGAAATCGGTGCCTACGGTCACGAAAACAACTGTAGCGGTGGTGATGGCGGCGGCGGCGATACCGATCAAACTGTATGTTTGAAACATATGACTAAACGGATTGCAAGAGTGGAGAAATTGTTTGAAAACAATAACTTCCGTTTCAATCAATTGAACGAGAAATTTGGACAGTTATCTAAAAAGGTGTCCAACAGTCTCATAACAAACGGCTCATTATTAGTAGCCGACACTTCATCGGCACTGCCAGCAGCCCATAGTGTTGGCAGTGGTAGTCCWAATGAAACCCGATTCACACCAATAGATATGCACACAAGTGATGAAAGCTTAAATCCTATTGAATGCTATAGAAAAAAATAATAAGATTATTATATTTGCTGATTATTATTATTATTATTATAAATATATGTATTGTTTTATAAGCCAATATTAATATTATTATTATTATAAGTTTAATTTTCCGTCAATTATAACATTTTAGTTGCTAATTAACAACAAAATAAAAAATTTTCTAATATTTTTGATATGATTTTTTTTTAAATGATTATTATTATTATAAATTTTGTAATCTCGATGAAAAATACAATAAAATTTTGTTTTATTTAAATCAATTACTTTTTTTAAAAAAAAAAATGATGAAAATATCTTTATTTCAGATTAAATCGACTTTTTTTTTTGTTTAACATTCACTACAGTTGGAGATCAAACAGATAGACATCGATCGGCTTAGCGGACAGTTAGCCGATAAACGGCTTGAATTGGAAACATTGAATCGCAGATATCAGTCGCTGGACAGTCAGCTAAGGGACAGTCAACACAGGCTAATGTTGTTGGACAGCACTGGTGGTGGCAGTGGTAGTGGTTGTTATAGTAGTAGTACTACTACTACTGGTGCTAGTGGTGGTGGCGATGATTGTTATACTACTAGTGGACAGTTAGGAAACGGTAGTTCAAGGGATTCACTAATAGATAATACTAGTTATGATAAGCCCTATAATAATAATAATAGTAATGTTAAACATAAGACAGTAAATACTACAAGTAGTTGGCTTAAGGCTACAAGTTTGAGGTAATACCTAAAAAAAAAGTTTTTTTTAATAATTAATTTAATTATATATATATTTTTAAATCATATAAAAAATAGTAAAGCATTTAAACGCCAAAAAAGTCGACTAATGAAGACATTGTCAATTGATTTGCTAAGTACTGGTGCAGTGATCGAGGAAACAGCGGCACCGGTAGATCAGTCTACTACTAATAGTAGATTGACTACCGGTGCTCGTCATCATACAGTATATGGTCAACAAAGTTGTATGACTTGGACAGGTAGTGATGATGTCTACGATGTTTGTCAAAGAGGAGGACAACAACACCAACAACAACAACAACAACACCGTCGACGTCGACGCCGGGATAGATCGCTGTCSTCATCGCTATCGGCGACAACACCGACACCGATGACAGCACCGGCAGCTGTAGTAATGATGTCGACAACTACTGCTACTAACAAACAATACAAACAAACAGCTAWCGGATAGTTAGTTAGTTAGTAATTAATTGAAACAAAYTATTGGTTTAAAATATATTAATATATATTAAATCAAAAGTTAATGATTACATACAGAGAGAGAGAGAGAGAGAGAGAGAGAGAGAGAGAGAGAGAGAGAGAAAGAGAGAGAGAGAGATAATTATATATACAATAGTTTGTGTAATAAATAAATTATAATTTAAATAATTTTTAATTAATATATATATATTGTATGTATATTGTAATATATATTGTTATAGGTAGTCACTGCCATTTCAATGCTATACTGATTGGTGTTTAAGGCTATAATTATTTCAATACAAAATATTTTTATATATATATATATATATATATATTTAATATATAGTTTTATTTTTATTTAAATAATTATATTTGCAAACCAAGGTTTGCTTAATACTAAAATCTAGAATTCACTTTTAAAAATGCATTTAAGTGTTATACAGAAAAGTGAATAGTAAACACCTACTTTTAATCAAAGTTTTATTTTATTTTTATTTAGTATTTCACTGTTAAAATAATGCATTGAAATGTTATACAGAACAGTGAGTAGTAAACTCCTACTTTTAAGCAAAGTTTTATTTTATTTTTACTCTGTATTTCACAGTTAAAATAATGTATTGAAATGTTATACAGAAAAATGAATAGTTTACGCCCAGGGATTAAAGCTGACTCAATACGACCTGATTATTTCTCACGTACACTTTAGTATAAATAGAGGTGTCTTTCAGACACCAAAGTGGGTTCTCTTCTGAGATCAGTTCTCAGTTCTCTTCGGAGATCTCTTCGGAGTTCTCTTGGAGTGCTACAACAAAACACTTCAATATAATTTTTTTTGTACAATATAAATAATTTATATATACAGTATATACAGTATATACAGTATATATATTGATACTAAAGTTTTAATTATCAAAAAAAATATAATATTTCAATAATAAAATTTAGGGATTAAATAATGATATGAATTTTATTATTTATTTTTTATTTTTTGTATAAAAACAATACTATTAATAGATATTATAGATTATAGTTATATAATGTTTTTCTTATATAAAAATAAAATAAATTTATTTATTTTATTTACATAATGATTATTATATAATTGAATTTAAATTGATATTTATATTGCTTATAATAATAATAATAATAATTGTAATAATTGTATATTAAATAAACAAAACACTTAAATATTATTATTGTAGACAAAAATAATTATTAAAAAAATAAATAAATAATAGACACATAGATAATAAAGTTTTAAATATGAAAAACAAATTAATATATAAGATATACTTTATATATATATATATATATATATATATGAATTAAATTTCAATAATAAAATTAAAAGATTAAATCTGATATGAATTTGTTTATTATAATTATTTTTTTAAAATTTTATTTGTATAAAAGCTAAAGGATTTTTTAATAGAAAAATAATTAATAAAATTATTATAATAAATAATTTTGCTAAAAATAAAATAAATAAACATTTAATTTTTGATTATTAAATTTTGTTTTTAAATTTAAAAAATAAATCAAATTAACAATATGTCAAAAATTTTTGTGACCGTAATTTTGATGGCTATTTTAATGGTGGCAATGGTATGGACTAATGAACATGGTGACAATACTGCTGCTATTGACCCTGGTAAAAATTATTATTATTTATGTAAAATTTTGCAACTATCAAAAATATATATTAGCTAATAATTTTATTTAGTATATATATATATATATATATATATATATATATATATAGATATATCGTATATTAATATTCTAATAATACTATTTATTGATATTTTATTATTATTTTTTTTTAATTTCTAATTTTTTTAAAAAATAATTTTTTATTTTCAAGTTAATTTTAATTTATATATTAATTATTTTTATTAGATTTTTATCAAATAATATATATATATTTATAGTAGACAATTAATATTCTAATAATAAATTTTTCTATGTGTATAAATTTTAGTATTTTAATTTTATAAAGTAATAATTTTATTTTTTCATAAAAATTTATTTTGATTTTAAATTAATTTTAATTTATTTATTTTTTCAAGTTTGTACATGCAATTTCTATGAGGGACATTTTTGCGGTTACCGCAATTTGGATACCAGCCCTATTACCGCTAGACTGTTAGGCAACTGTGAACAGCAGACAGTCTACTACTGTCCCGGCGGTAATGTTGTTGCCGTACTAAAGTCCCGGTGCTCCGATAAATGCCTAAGCGATGGCATATCTGGAAATGATCATTGTCCATTTGTCTAAACGTAAATGGACAACAATAACAACAACAACAAATAATAATAATCAATTTTAAGCATGCTAAAACTTATTATGTTATTATTTTTACAATTTTTTTTTAAAAAAAAGATAATTTTTTTTTTAATTATTAATGTATTATCAGATACAGTATATATATATATATATATATATATATTAATATTACAATATTAATGTATAATATTATTTCAAAAAAAATAATATTTTTTTTGTAATTGTTGTTGTTTAATTAAATAAATAAACTTTAATCTTATTAAGCATCATTATTTTTTTAATTTTATTTTTTTAAATAAAAATATAAACTATTTCATTACTATTAGCTATCTATATTAATATTTATTTTTTTTTTGTTAGCATAACCTAGTTACTTAATTAATCATACTGTATCATGATAAGTTTAGGTATAAATGCTAAAAAGGATTTTTTGTTTTAAATTGTAAAATTAGTTTTTTTTAAAAAAAAGCTAAATAAATTTATAATTTTATTTGATTTTGGTTAAGAAATTAATTACTATATTAAAAATAATTGTTATCTTGATAACTATTATTAAAAAAAATTGGTGATAATTGTAATGCAACTAAAAAAACTGCTAGTTAAAAAAAATTACTATAAATAATTTGATTATAATTTTTAAAAATTTTGTTACTACAATATATATATATATATATATATAATAAAAAATAAATAATTATGTCAAAACTTAAATATATATATGCAATTTTTTTATAACAATATTTTATTATTATTATTATTTTTTTGCACATTTTTTTGATATTAATATTTTAATTGATTTTCAAAATTAAAAACAGATATAATAATAATAATAATATTTGTTTACTATAATTATAAATTGTTTTTTCTTTTTAAATTTTACTATTATAAGGGAAAACATTTGCAGTTATATTATAACACAATCGGGTGTCGACACCAACAACAACACCCATCCCCACCCCCACCCCCCAGTGTCTGGTATACTACTACTACTACTGTCCCGGCTATGGATGTTAAGGGTATAATCAAATGTCTGGATAAATGTCTAGACGATTAGCTAATCAAAAGACCCTAGATCATTGTTATTGATTTTACTTAATTATATATATATGATTAAAAAAAATAATTATACTAAAAGCTAAAAATTAAATAAATAAATAACAAATAAAAAAATTAAAGAAAATTATTTTAGTATGTTTATTATTATATTTTTTTTAATTTATATTTTTTCATTTAAATAACTACTTTATATAACTTTATATATTTATATATATGATTAAAAAAAATAATTATAATAAAAGCTAAAAATTAAATAAATAAATAACAAATAAATAAAAATAGAAAATTTTTTTATTAAGATTATTATTATATTTTTTCATTTAAATAACTACTTTATATAAGTTTATATATATATATATATTTGTTAACTTAATTTTTATCAATAATATATACCGCAAAGTTTTTTTTATTTAAAAAAAACAATATAAAAGTGAAATTGATAAAATAATCTATATATTGCATGAAATTTAACAACAATAATAATTTTAAAAATAGTTTTTTTTTTGATAAATAAACTAACAAAAAAATGTATTATTAATTTTTATTTTCTCTATGGTATTGCATTTTAAATTGATATAAAATTATTTATTAAAAATAAAAATAATTTTTTAAAAACTTTATATTTGATAAAAGTAATGAAATGCAGATTTTTATTTTTGATTGTTTTATTAAAATTTATATTGAAATTAGATAAACATTAAATACACTTAAGATATTATATATATATATATTTGAAATTGATAACAATTTTTTCATAAATATGCACTTAAATTAATAATAGATAATAATAATAATATATAATTAATAGAAAAAAAACAATTAAATTAAAGTTCAAAATATTAATTATTATAGGATTTAAAATTGATATGAATTTTTATTAATTTTTTTTAGTATATATATATCAGCTACATTAAAAAAAATTTTAAAAATTAAAATCAAATAATAATTCAATTTTATTAGTTAGTTATTATTTATTTATATTATTTTTTTTTTGAAAAATAAAATAACAAACCAATTACTAAAATAATATGTCAAAAATTTTTGGTGCCGTTATGTTGTTGACCATTTCAATGGTGGCAATGGTATGGACTGATGACAAAACTAACGATGGTAACTTATTAAAAATTAAAAATTATTGATATTATTATTATTTATAATAATTTTTTATTTATAAAAGATTAATTACTTATTTATTATTATTATTATTATTATTATTTATTTTAATTAGCTTATTGTTAATTAATTTATAATTAATTAATTAATATAAAAATTATAATTTAATTAACTATAATTAACTATAATTAATTTCCTATAGATACTTAATTAATTAATTATTCATTATTTATTTTATTTTGTCAATTATTGTAATTAAAAAATATATATAATTAAATGATTATTATATACTATTATACATTAATTTTATTACATAATATATATATAAATATATATATATATATTGTTATTATAATTATCCATTTTGTTTGATGTGTACTGTATGTATGTTCCCAATAGCCTGTATGTGCAACTACTATGAGGGAAACTTTTGCGGTTATCGTCAATCGGATGTCGACACCAAACAGTCGAGACTGTTAGGCGATTGCGAACCAAAATCTGTTTACTACTGTCCCGGCGGTAGTCATGTTAAGGCTATACTGAAATCCCGGTGCTCTGACATATGCGAAAGCGATGGCAAATCAGGCAATGATCATTGTCCATTTGTTGTTTAAATTTWWAAAAAAATTAGCATGCTAAAATCTATTTTATTATTATTATTATTTGATTAATTAATTAATTAATTCATATTATTAAATATAATATAAATTTTTTTAGTAATATGAAAATTTATGTATCAATTGTGTACTAATAAAAAAATTATTATTTAAATTATCTGTTTTTGTTGTTGTTGTTTTTCATTAAAATTAATTAATTAATTATTAAAATTTAATAATTTTTTAAAAAGAGCATAATTAATATTGTGTCAATTATTTATTTATTATAATAATTTAGTAAAACTAAACTATAAATTTATTTATTTTTTTAAAAATAATTAATTAATAATTTGACATTTAATAATATTAAATAATAATCTCATAATAATAACTATTAAAAAAATAAAAATTGTTATCAAATACTATAATTAGCTTTTAAAAAAAATATTATATCTAATAAATTATATTACAATATATTACTTAATTTTAATATTAAGTAATTTTATTATTTTAATATATACTATTATTATTCATATACTGTATATAAATTATATATAAAACATAGACTGATTAAAATATTTAATAGTCATTTATAGATAATTTATTAAAATTATCTATAAATTACAATTGTTTAATTTATAAATATACTATAATAATTTCCACTATTACAAAATCAATAGGATATAGATAATTAAAATTTTATTAACAAACAAAAAATTATTACATTAGTATTAATTGGATTTATAATAATTATTTAGCATTTATTATTTTTTATAGATAAATATTTATATCTATCGACTTGAAATTCAATGTATTTTTTAACAGATTTATAATAATTTTGAAATTAAATTATTTACTAAATAATTTAACAATATATATATATACATAATAATTAATGAATGATAAATTGTAGTAGATAATTATTATAAAAAAAAATTATGAAATTTAATAAATAAATATAAACTACTTATTAAAATAACAACTATAGTTATTGCAGTGGTTTTTTAACTATACATACATACATATATGTGTATATAGCGCTATATGTGATATATAAAATGATAAAAACAATTTAATTATCCAATCAAATTGTTAATAGATAAATATATGAAATAATTTTTATTGAATTTCAATTTTATAGGATTTTTATAAATAAGATATTAAAAAAAATTTATATAAAAGCTAAAGATTTTTTTAATAATTAAATAAAATCAATTAACTACTATTATTAATTATAATAAATTTCATTAWAAAAAAAAATATATTTTTAAATAAAATAAACTAAAATTTTTACAGCATGTCAAAAATTATTGTAGCCGTTAGTTTGATGATGATGATGATTTCAATGGTGGCAATGGTACGCACTGATGATGATGATACTAAAATTAATGCTGGTAAATTTATTTATTTATTTATATAAAAAATTATAATTTAATTCAATATTTTTTTTTTAAATATTATTCTTCTTATTATTAATTATTAGTAGTTAATATTAATAATTAGTAATTATTAGTAGTTAATATTAATAATAATTAATTATTAGTAGTTAATATTAATAATTAGTAATTATTAGCAGTTAATATTATAATTTATTAATTAATATTAAAAATTATTAATTAATATTAATTATTATTATAATAATTATATATATTATTATAAATTATTAAAAATTATTATAAATAATTATTAATAATTAATATTAATAAATTATTATTAACTAACTAACTATTCTAATAATAGACTGTAAGTGCAATTTTTTTGATGGATTATTTTGCGGTTCCCGAAACTTGATTAGCGATACCAAACAGTCGAGACTAATAGGCAATTGTGAAAAGGATTCCGTTTACTTTTGTCCCGGCGGTGAAGGAGTGGCCGAACTAAAGTCCCGGTGCCCGGGCCAGTGTATACTAGATGATAAAACAGGCATGGATCATTGTGCATTTGTCTAATTAAAATAACAACCCAACTAACCTAATTATAAAATAAAAATAACATAAAAAAATTACCATGCTTAGTATATAAAATTTTTAAAATATATACAGTATATATATATCTATATAATTATTGCATTATGCTAATTATATTTTTTTTAATTTGTTATTTTTCTGAAATTTATAATTTAATAAAGTTTATTATTTTTAAGCATTATTTATTTGTATCATATTTTTTTTTTAAAAAAATTGTTTTTACATTAACAATTTTTTATGCTGTTAATTGATAATAATTAAATTATTAAAATATTATTAATTATGTAGTTAATAAATAAACAAAAAGTTATTAATATTTTTTTTAATAATAATATTTTAATTTAAAGCACTATTAAAAATTATTTTTTTAGTTCTTTAAAAAATAATTGTAAACAAATATTTACATTTAAATAAAATGTTTTTTAAATTATAATACCTGTATATTAGACTATATTTTGTTTGCAAATTTTTTTAAAAATATTTTTTTCCTATTTTCTAAATTGATTAATTAATATAAATTATTTAAAGTGATTTTATTTTGAGAACACATTTTAATTATTTAAATATTTCTTACTTTTTCACAATTTCTCAAAAAACTTTATCCAAAACTTGGATTGACATACATATGTTTCGAGAGGTAACTCCTCTCTCATCAGTGTCACTGAGATTATGGCCGCTAAGACCTATCTCAACACTTGTTGTACTCTATGATGTAGTGCTGGATCGGGTGTTTGGCTCGAAATTAGTATCAATTAGTGATTTATTTGATATGTTTATTGTATGGGAAAGTTTAAAGTATTTTATTTACAGTATATTTTTAATGTAAATTATTTACAGATTTTAACTGTACATATAGTTTGCCATAGAACTGGATTTATGGAACTGGAGTTTGCCATAGTATTAATAATTAAAAATCAAAATAAAATTAATACTACAGTATATAGAAAAAATACTAATTCAAATAGATATTTAAATTTTAATTCACACCATGCTAAAGAATATAAATTATCAGTAATTAAAAGTTTAATTTATAGAGCTTTTACTCATTGTAGTAATAATATATATTTAGATAAAGAGCTACAATACATTACAGATATTTTATTAATTAATAATTACCCTAAATCATTAATATTTAATCTGATAAATGAACAAAAAAATAATAAAAATAAAATAAAATCTAATAACTTTGATATTAATAATGTAATTACTATACCCTATTACAAAGGCATAAGTCAAAAAATTAAACATTTATTTAAAAAATACAACATAAATACAGTATATAAAAGAGGTTACAATATTAAAAATATATTACATAATAGATATAGTCAATCAAAATTTAATAAATACGGTGTAGTTTATAATGTTAATTGTGAATTATGTAAATCAGTATATGTAGGCAATACAAAACGTAAATTAGGTATTAGATTAGGAGAACATAAAAAAGCATTAGTATGTGATTCATATAAATCTAATATTGCTGACCATTGTTTTCATACAAAACATGATGTAAATTTTTCAAATGCAAGTATTATATATAGTGAAACTAATTATTATTCACGTAGATTTTTAGAAAATTGGAATATAGAACAAAACAAATATAAAAAATTTAATTTAATGAATGATCAAATTCATACAAATACTATCCCTAATCAATACTTATGTTTTTTAAAAAACAAATAATAATGCCATAGACTAGCTCTCATACTGAGAGCTAGTTCTATGGCAAACTATATGTACAGTTAAAATCTGTTAATAATTTACATTAAAAATATACTGTAAATAAAATACTTTAAACTTTCCCATACAATAAACATATCAAATAAATCACTAATTGATACTAATTTCGAGCCAAACACCCGATCCAGCACTACATCATAGAGTACAACAAGTGTTGAGATAGGTCTTAGCGGCCATAATCTCAGTGACACTGATGAGAGAGGAGTTACCTCTCGAAACATATGTATGTCAATCCAAGTTTTGGATAAAGTTTTTTGAGAAATTGTGAAAAAGTAAGATATATTTAAATAATATAAATTATATACAGTATATTACTTAATTTATTATTAAGTAATTTTATTATTTTAAAATATTATTATAATTCATGTACTATATATATATATATATATATATATATATTATAGACTTATTAAAATATATATAAAATAGTTATTTATAGATAATTGGTTAAAATTATCTATAATAACAATTGTATAATTTATAAATATATTATAATAATTTTCTCTATTACAAAATCAATAGGATATAGATAATTAAAAATTTTATTTAAAAATTATTACATTAGTATTAATTGAATTTTAATAATTATTTATATCTATCGACTTGAAATTCAATGTATTTTTTAACAGATTTACAAAAATTTTGAAATTGAAATAGATAATTATTTAAAAAAAATATGAAATTAAATAAATAAATATAATCTACTTATTAAAATAACATGAAGATTGAAATTAGCAATAAAACATTATCAGACAAAATTCAAAAAGCAAAAAAAATATTTATTAAATCATTATTACTTTTATTATTTTTGTTTATAATTAATTACAATTGAAAAAAGTGTTAAATTGTGTAATTACTTATTTAGTAGTTTTTAAGCGCCATTATCATAAATTATTTATTTTATTATTTTAAAAATTGGACCTTATAGACATACAACAAATAGTATTCAAATATGTAAATGTTGAAAAAAAGTTTAAATGATTATTTTCATGTAATGTCAATTATTTTTATAAGTGATAAACTTATCAAACAATATAAATACACACATATATATAACTATAGTTTTATGTAGGGGTTTATTTACTATACAAATATATATATATATATATAGCGCTATATAAGTTATATAAAATGATAAAAACAATTTAATTATCCAATCAAATTATTAATAGATAAATATATGAAATAAATTTAATTGAATTTCAATTGAATTTCAATTTTTAGGATTTTTATAAATAAGATATTAAAATTTTTTTTATATAAAAGCTAAAAATTTTTCAATTGAAAAAATAAATAAATAATAAAAATTAATTAACTATTATTATTAATTTTAATAGAATTAAATAGATATAAAACTTTTATATTTTAAATAAAATAAACTAAATTTTTTACATTATGTCAAAAATTATTGTAGCCGTTAGTTTGATGATGATGATGATTTCAATGGTGGCAATGGTACGGACTGATGATGATACTAAAATTAATTCAGGTAAATTTATTTATATAAAATTAATTTTAATTTAATTCGACAATAATATATTTTTTTAATTAAGATATTATAAATTTTTCATTTATTTAGATAAATTAAATATATACTTTATGCAATTAGATACTAGCTAAAATTTTTGTTTAAACAATAAAATAAATAATTATTTACAATATACATATATATATATATATATATTATTATTATTATTATTATTATTATTATTATTATTATTATTATTATTATTATTATTATTATTATTATTATTATTATTATTATTATTATTATTATTATTATTAATTATTATTATTATTATTAATTATTATTATTATTATTATTAATTATTATTATTATTATTAATTATTACTATTATTATTAATTATTATTATTATTATTATTATTATTAATTATTATTATTATTATTATTATAATAGACTGTAAGTGCAATTTTTTTGACGGTCTATTTTGCGGTCACCGAAACTTGATTACCGACACCAAAATGTCTAGACTATTAGGCGATTGTCAACCGGAAGCCGTTTACTTTTGTCCCGGCGGTGAAGGAGTGGCCGAACTAAAGGCCAAGTGCCCGGGCAAGTGCATACAAGATGATAAAACAGGCATGGATCATTGTGCATTTGTCTAATTAAAAATACCAACAACAACCACTTTAAAATTATCAAAATTAAAAATAACAAAAAATTAGCATGCTAAATTTAATTATTATATATTTAACAAAATTATAAATTGTTTTCTTTATATAGATTTAAAAAAAGAATTTGTAGAATATATATATATATAGTATATATTTTTTGTACTAAAATTTTTCAATATAATAAAGTTCATTATTTTTAAGCATTATTTATTTTTTTTTTATTATTTAATTTGTTTAACAACAACAACAACAACAACAACTTTAAAATTATCAAAATTTTAAATTTTAAAAAATAAGCATGCTAAATTTAATTATTATATATTTAACAAAAATTATTAATTGTTTCTTTATATAGATCTTTTCCAAATATTTTTTAAGTTAATAAAGTTTCTAATAGTTTTAAGCATTATTTATTTGTTTGATATATTTTTAATTAGTATTATTTAATTTGTTTTTTAATTATAAGAATTTTGTTACTGTTGTTGATAATCATTAAATTGGACTAAATATATATATAATATGTATATATAATTATTAATAACACAATCAATAATTAAATATATAATAATTAAATAAACAAAAGTTTATATATAATTTATTTTATTTAATAAATTATATATTTTTAGTGCAACACATAATTAATAAAAGGATTTATTTTTAATGATTTTAAATGTAAAACAAAACAAATTATTATTATTTTTAGTTCATCATAAAAATAATAATAATAATAATAATAATAATAGTAAATAATATTTACATTTAAATAAAATGTTTAGAAAATTATAAAACCTGTATATTAGACTATATTTTGTTTGTATAATTGTTTTGTATTTATTCCGCTATTTTCTAAATTAATTAATTAAAAAATAAATTTAAAGTTTATTATTTTTCTTAAACATTATTAATTGTGTGTAATTTTTTTGTTGTTGAAAAATGTTAAATTAATTTCATAATAATCAGTTAATAAACAAACAAACAAATAAAATAAATAGATTTATTTTTTATTGAAATTCAAATAATAATCTTGAAAATTATTATAAATTGATTTCACATACAGTAATTACATATTATCAATTTATAATTATTATTATTATTATTATTACTATTATTATTAGTTATCTATAACTTATAGGAAACTTTTTTTTCAAGTACTTGAAATGCATAAAAATTTATTTCATTAATTTTTTTATCAATCATATTATACATACTATAACTACTGTATATAAGTACTGTATATAAAAAAATACATAATTTTAATTTAATAATTATAGTATTGTTAATACTATTTAGTAATTATTATTTTTTTCAACAATTTAGTTATTAATTTGTTATTGAAAAAAATATGCAAAAAATTGTTGCTTCACTATTGATAATTATTTTAGTGATTAATTTGAATTTAGGTAAACATTTATATATTTTTATTAATTTGTTTTATTATTATTATTTTTTAAATTAAAAAATTATTTAATTTTAATTTTAACACAAATATTATATAAAACTAAATTAAACAATATTATTATAATATATATATTTATATTTAAAAATTTTATTACAATATAATATTTTTATTATTATTGTAATAAATTTTTAAATAAATGATAAATTAAATTATTTTGTTTTATATTTTTTTTCATAGGTATAAATGCAATGCAATGTCGATGCCTGAAACACGTGGGCACGTTTTGCGGCTCACGTGCCACCACTACCGCTGACGTACTGCAGGGCAGTGTATGTCAACCTAATACGGTATACGAGTGCCAGAAACCGGACTCACCGGCAGTCTATGTGACCACTTGTATGCCTCCCCAGCCGTGTCGGGAGTCCAACCCTATGGGACACGATTCATGTTAAACACAATAATATATATATATATATATATATATATATATATGTGTATATATATATAGATATATTGTATTTAAACAACTAGTAAATTAACATGGTTAATTAAATTTAAAACAAAAACAAAAATTAAATAAATATTATTATTTTGTTTTGAATATTATATAAGTTATTATTATTATTATTAAATATTATTAAATATTATTTAAATTTTCAAAACAATTTAATCATTTTTTTTAAATAAAAAACTGTATTTTTGTATTATGTATATCTTAATAATTAATTAATTAATTTTTTTTCAATCTTTTATTTTATTATTATTTTTTTCAGTATATTAAATGAAAATAATTTCTTTTTTAATAATTAAAATAAAACATTCAATTTATTTTTTTAAAACTATTTTAACAAAAAAATTTTTTTATATATATATATAATGTTTAAAAATATATACATTCATTGATCAAACATTTTTACAAATTGGCATTTTTACAAACATTTTTTTAAAAAATACTTAATGCTATTAATATATATATATATTTTTAAAAAACTATTAGTTAACAAATTATGATTTCTAAACTAAACTATAGTAAAACTTGCAAATAAAATACAATAATTCTAAATAATAAAAAAAATAAAATTAAATAAAATATGAATTTAAAAAAACAATTTTTAAAAAATATAACTAGAATTTATTTAATTAAATATATATATATATTGATGATAATATTGTAATTTTATTAAATAAAAAAATATTTTACTTAAAAATAACTATTCAATATATATATGATAATAGTTAACATAGGATTATATCCATATAATAATAATAATAATAATAATAATAATATCATAGGAAAGTCATAATCAAACATATTATAAGCAATAGTAACTCGTATTCAACTAATTGACTGCCAGTAGTAGTAGTAGTAGTAGTTGTCTGACGTCGGCTCATACCTACAAACACGACATCATCCGTCATCACTACTATTACATCAGTATTATTATTATTATTATTATTACAACTATTTTTAGTGGTTAGGGTAGTGTCGACACCAATCCAACAATGACTACAATTATTCACTACATATGATGATAGTATAGCTGATGATGATGTCGATGACGATGACGATGATGCTGACTGTGCTTGAATTTTTTGATGACTATCCAAACTATTAGCTACCGGTCCTATGACTGTTGCTGCTATCAGACAACTGTCATCTGTCTGTCTATTTATATATCTATTATTGTGTAATAATAATAATAATAAAAATAGTTTAGATTTTTAATCTCATTTTTTTTAAAAAAAAATGTGTTACATATAATTAATTAAATATTTTTTTTTAGTTTTTTTTAGTTAGTTTTTTATTTTTTTATAATTTTTTATAAGTTTTTTTTGGGGTAAATTTACCGGAAATTTTCATCAGCTTTAGGTTTAGATGATTGTATTAGTGAACAAACAATCAATTGTTTTATAGTATCGATCAAACAATTTGATAATTTTTCATCAATTATTATAATATCACTAATAATACTAACATTATTATTATCACTATAACTATTAACACTTGAATTTGAATAATAATTATTATTATTAGTTTTAGTATTAAATGTTTTGATACACCAATCAATTGATTGATCACTAGTTTGCCAACAATTTAGATAAATGTCTAAATTGTCTGCCAGTGACTGTCTACCGGTGCCGCCAAACCATTGATGATCTACCGGTGCTTGCAATCTAGTAGTGGCCAACAATTTATTATTATTATTATTATTATTATTATTATTATTATTATTATTATTATTATTAGGTCCTAAATAACACATAATATTATTATCACTTGTAAAGCACAATGTAATCACAATTATTATTATAATAAGATTTATATAAAACATATTTTTTGTTGATTTTTCAATAATAATATTTATAAATAATTTATATATTAAAAAATATATAAAAATAATGTCACATAAAATTAAATAAAAATTAACTAATAATTCAATTAAAATTCACATTTTATTCAATAATAATAATAATAATCAAAATTTAGTGACACATAATCGATAATAGGAAAAATTATTAATAATTTTTTTTAAATATAATATTTAAATGTAAATCACAAAAAAATTATTATTATTTTTTAGATCATCAAAAAAAAAAAAAAAATTTACATTTTAAATTAAAATGTATATTAAATAATATATATAATATATTTGACTGTTTTTTTTATTAATGTTGAAAAATGACACGTTTTTATGTTTTATTATTATTAATAATAATTATTACAACAACAAAAATATTTATATATTATTATATTTTAATATTATGTTTTGGGAAATAAAATATAATAACAACTCATTAAAAATCGATAAAAACCGGAAACTTTTTAATATATTTTGTTAGTGTGTTATGACTATTGAAAATTGAAAGTATAATATAATAGTAATTATTATTATTATTATAACAATACTGTATATTATATAAATATTTTTATATATTAATAGTATAAAAAAAGTCTACTTTAATATTAGTAATTAAAGTATACCATTATAATAGTGTATATATATATACAGTATTAAATAAATTTTGTTTTTTGTTTAATTTTCACATTTGAATACATTTACTGTAAAACACATACACATATATATAACACAATTTTTGTTTCAATTATTTGTATTATTATACAATTAAAATTAAAAATAAATTAAATAAATAAAATTAGTTTAACCTTACACTACATACAGTATAAGATACTTAAGCACTGGTATTATAAAAATAATAATAATAATAATAATAATAATAATAATAATAATAATAATAATAATAATAATAATAATAATAATAATAATAATAGTTAACCTTTAAAAATCTTAATCCCGGAGCCGGATTTACACATACATACATACTGTACATACTGTATGTACTATACATTACTCATGTGCATTGAAATATATATGTATATATTTATTTAGTTTTTTTTTATTTTGCTTATGTAGCTAATAATATAAACTACTGTATATACTATATATATTATATATATAYATATATMTATATATATTATATATATACATATATATTACTAAACAAATTTAATTATTTATTTTTTTTTTAAATTTAAGCACTGGTAGATTTATTTATTTATTGCTACTTTATTTTTTTTTTAATAATGTATTTACTATTTAAATTAGTTAAAAATTTGTTGAATTATTGTTGATTTATTTTGTTTTTTTTAATAGATTAAAATTAGAAATAAATAGTATA